TGGTGTCAGTCAAAATTTGTCAATAGTTTTGTTTCATTTGCAGGTTATCGAATGCAGCTTATTAGCTAACGTGTGGTAGGGTGGCATTCAGGAGATAGAACACTGCGAATACCGGCGCATTCGGAACGGTCAACGATGTTTGAATCTGCTGCGTCAAATGATGTTTCGGTATAAACACAAAGTTACTAGCTTTGTAGCTTCAAAAGATGTTTCATATCTTCGCATCGTATTATGTTACCAGTGCGTCACCTCCGCTTCGCGGATGTTCGCACTGGCTCTTCTATCCGTATGACTTTCTCATCTTCGCATAAAGATGACTTTAAAACTTACCACGCCAAATTATACATCACAATCAAATTGTAAACAACTGTTCATTCTTGAAGCATCTCCACGTAAGATCGGTAATTTTGAGGAAGAAAACTTTTTCGCAAAGAAACACCTGCGAATTTGAATGGATTACTGAATTTTTTTGGCTTCGTAGTCGTCATAAGGGTAATAGCCGCTTTGAGCTACATTTTCGTGTAAAAATCTTTTCAAACTTTTAGGTAAAATCTTGCCAAATCGACTATTGACGCGATCACCACTTTTTGGCGCTATTTTCGCAGAAAAGCAAATTTTTGAGCACTTTTTGTTCTAGAATTCATGGGGCGCAGATTTAATTGTCAGGCAAATCATGACTTTGCAAAAATCCAAATCTGAACTCAGTTTTGCCGGATTGAAGCCGTGTGGATCCGTTTGACGCACAATTTTGGTAGCATCAATTCAACGGATCCCTACGAAATTTTGCATGATGGGACTAGATGCTGGCAAGGGGCTATGAGCAAATTTTCAGCTCAAGACATTTGCTCAACTCTCTCTATGAATTTCGTGACAGACAGACGTACACACAGACACACAGACAAACAGACTAAACAACCCTTAGCCCGTTATTATTAAGTCATAGATAACAGATATGTTGATGTAGTTTCGTATCACCCCGTATTAAGATTACGGCACTGAATGAAAGCTAGGATACAGAGGAAATACTGTGGCCCAGTGCCATTTCGTTGCGCCACTAACGCATACCGACGGGAAACGTCCGGAAATAAGTGCATGCTCAAAGCAAAGATGACACAAAACGAATTTAGATTGTAGACAGCAGTGAGATAGAGGGAAACCGATCAATTACATTGAAACAAAGGAAAATGAAAGGAGAACACGTAAACTCAGACACTGGGAGCGGACAAGCTGCGGCTTTTTTTCGGATGGAATTTCGCAGCTCCCGCGGTCCGGCCGGAGAGCGGGCCTCGGCTCAGCCGCGGCTGGTTGTCGGGCAGTCTGTAGTTCATTCTAGTTTGCCTAATTGGGCCTTGGCGCAACATGGCACATAGAGAAATACACAATGGGGAAATAGAAATTAGCACCACCGATATAGCAGCTTCGGGAACCAATCCGACTTCAAGGTTGGATAACGCTAAGATGCTATCGAAGGTTGTTCATAAGACAACATATGATCTTGTTCCTACCAGAACATCCAAGGCATTGAGGGCAGCCTAATCATTTCGTACATCACGCAAGTATCCTTTAAGCTCAGATACTAAGAGCGGTCGATCCGCGGCCTTCATTTGACATGGGCCGCGGCTCAGCCGGAGTTTCTTACACAGATTTTGGTCCGCGGATTTTGGCAATGCTCCGCCCCATCATTAACAAATTGACGACAACGCAAATTTTTGATTATCTGCCTTTTGCGACCAGACCTTTTACCAGTCAGGATTTTTTGTAGATAGAAGCGCACATACCGCCGTCTACAGTACACCTACATTAGCTGTTTGAGGCTGATGAAGAGGATAGAGGTCATTTCTAGATTGGCAGCAAAAGAAAACTTCTGGAATAAGTTTCTACCAAGATAGTCGTCATTTTAACGAAGTTTAAGCCTTGACACACATGGTGTGTCAAGCGGTCGTCAATGTGTTAAGGGCCGCGGCTGAGCCGGTGAGCTTTTCCTCCCGCGGCTCGACCGGTGCAATGATAATGACATGAACGCATCCAGGTCACGCCCCCAGATTAAGGCTGCGGGCGAGCTGGAAAGGCTTTTGGGGCCAGTCGTCATTTTAACGAAGTTTAAGCCTTGACACACATGGTGTGCCAAGCGGTCGTCAATGAGTTAAAGGCAGTGTCCCGGCAGATTTTGCACCTCCACCTTTTTGCATGTTTTAGGCCTTTTCGCCACGTAGAATCCGAATTTGAGCTTTGAACGGGCTGAAAAGGCCGATTTTGGGGCGTTTTCCTAATTCCAGAAAAGCAGCTTGGACGAGATTTTTAATGGAAAGTTGAGGGAGGTCCTCAGACGAAGATCCTGCCGCCTGTAATTCTTGCTTTGGATAGCATGCATCATGGGGGAGAGCGCTCGTGGGGTCCCGCGCCGAACAGGCGGGGAAGGCCATCCAAGCGCGCGCCAGTTGGGGTTGCGCGCGCCGGTTCAAGGGCCATTTTCTCGGCCCAGGGGGAACATCACCCAGCCGGAGTGCGCCTGGAGGTCGTTGGGGTGACCAGGAACCCCACCACACGTATATCCCCCAGGACCCGAATCTGCCGGGACACTGCCTTTAACCCTTTCGGACCTGGTGGTGGCAATTGCCACCATCAATTCAGAGATCTACTATACTGGCGCAAGAACATCATTTCACTACTCAATGCTCTCAAACGCTTCATATAGCCTTTGCCTTCCAAACGTAGCTTCGAGACCGGGTGTTCATTTGCTTCTCTGTGAATAGCATGTACATTTCTGTAAACAAGTGGATTTCAACCAATCAATAATTTGCGCCGGCTTGAGCACCGTTTCAGTATCTCGTTTATAAGCCAAAAAATATTCATAATATTATCATAATGTTTTAGTACGATGCTGAGCAAATGTAACTGTTAACTGTTTGCGGGTCCACATGTTTCGCGGGAGATTTGAAAATCCAAAATAAACGCAAAACCAAAAAATTGAAAAATCAAAAAGAAATAGTTCATAAGGTTAAGCAGACTCCAAACTCCGCTATAATGTTATTCATATGGTAATAAGTAAAAAACACTAGGAGAGAGGCTTCTCGGGTCACTCGCAAAAACTCAGGTCCGAAAGGGTTAAGGGCCGCGGGTGAGCCGGTGAGCTTTTCTCCCCGCGGCTCGACCGGTGCAATGATAATGACATGAACGCACCCAGGTCACGCCCCCAAATTAAGGCTGCGGGCGAGCTGGAAAGGCTTTTGGGGCCGCGGCTCGTCCGCTCCCAGTGTCTAGGCCGTACGTGAGCGGAGCGGAGCGCATCACCCTTGCGATGCGTACGCGTAAGAACTGCGGACAAGGGAGCTCGTCATTGACATATCCTGTACATGTCTTAGCTCAGCACTAAGCCAAATATGGCTCTGTATGACCAACTTTGCATTTTGCATACATGATTTTTCCCACATAAAATTGATGGCTTATTACTCCGTCCACAAGGCCTTCAGCAAATACGGCAGGACAACTGTAACAATATCATTGCATGCCGACTTCTTGCATTTCGGTTGTGATAGTTTTCCAACACGACTAATCGTGACTAACTATTAAAACCGAAATACAAGAAGATGTGCATGCAGTGAACTCGTAACATTCGCCTTGTAGCGATTAAAGGCAGTGGCTCGGCAAATCTCAGCGTAGTCAAATTTGCGCTTACCTGGGGTTTTTCAATACGCTGATCCCAAAATTTCACTTTTGACTTGAAAACGGCGAAAATCAGCGTTTTAATGCCCTTCCCTTTGGAATTGAACGAGTGAAGCAAGGCCGATGACGCTAAATCGTTGCAGGACCCAATGGTTATAGTTGCGGCGGGCAGCCTCCAATGGTGAGAAGGAATTTGGCAACTCGTCCACATGCGTGTAAGATTAGTCTGCACGTGTAAGCTTGAGAGCGATTTTCTCGGCAGGGAAAGCATGCTGTGCAACCGGGATTGCACTGTTTTCATACTTGAGCGATGAGGAACGTACCGCGTTGAAATCCTGAGTTGTTGGATTTTGCCGAACCACTGCCTTTATATCGCAACGATCAAATTGTGTGAACTCTCCCCGATGCTTAAGATGCTAAGAAAGCAAGAACGGTTTGGTTTATTTGGGAAAGTAGTCTACTTCTACGCTACTAATAGACACCAAATTTCCATTGAAGACTGGTGTTGGTAAGTGACCTAGTTCCTTCAACGGATTGATCTACCCTAATAACTACGGTTTTTCTTGTAACTCTGCAACAAGATAGCATCTACCAAGGTTATGTAGAGTCTGTCTGCAGTTGTTGATGTTTTCGTCGGAGCGAAAACGTCGTATCGATCGCTCGCCGTCAGTGTGTGATTCGGGCGTGTGCTGCGCCGCTAGATCACTTGCTATTCTGTTTCCCCGTTTGCTTATCGCATGCTTACTAGATAGGTGTTACGTCCCTGTCACTTTTTAGAAGAGTCTTTTACGTTCATTCATTGTGCAAGTAGGATGCGTTGCGAAATGCCTGTAGTTTTACGATGACGCAGCATAGACGCTATAAAAACATATCCCGATCTGGGTCTCTGCGCTCTGTCGCCCTCTAGTGTGCGTCGTGCAATGTTCCTGCATTACGTGCAATGTTTTTCTTCCATTTTTAACTCTTGCGACCTACACTTAGAATTTATGTTAATCAACAGTGAAAACATGTCAGAAGGGTGAACAGGATGAGGAATGGAAGTACTGGTAGCGGGGGATGGGTGAGGTTGGCAGTTTCTTTCGAGTCAGAGTCTAGCATTGCAAATGAATTGAACTCAATATTTGAGGGTATTAAATTTCGTTGCTAATGTCGGAAACTCTCATGTGAAGCGGGTTAGACTCAAATTTAATGAAACTGGATGACTGCAGATCTTTTATAAGTTTTCTGCGGTTTCAGACCGAACATGTTTTCTCTTGTGAACTTTCCACTGATTGATTTTTCCCGTTATCACCGTTTCACGTTCAAAAAGAAGCTCCAATTCACCGTCATTCTTGGCAATGCTTGGTCTTTCAGGAGGTATGTCTCTCCAGTGGTCACTCATTGCGTTCGTACTTTATGTAGAGATTGCGATCACATTCGTATTACTACTACCATGGATTCGACCTACGCTGTGGGTATCATTATTGTTGATTACCTTTGTGTTTTTTGTTTTGTTGTTCTTGCATTATAGGCTTTCATTGTAGTGACTAAAATATCAATGAGATTGTGTTTACACATCGGTTGAAGCTTCCGCAAGGGTAGTATTTTAACAGCTAGCACTGTTGCACGTTGAAAAGCGATGACATATAAAGCGTTTAAGGTTTGTTTACAACCTGCGGCCTTCGTATGGCACACTTCTTGTTTACTTCGCGTGGTGATCTTTGGAGCCTTGGCGCATGGGGAACTATGTACCCGCTGATGTTTGATCGCTTTCTCCTAGTTTGCTATAATTCGATAGCGTTCCACATTTTCTATCGAGAGCATCTGGAATCGGTGACAACCTCACAGAATTTTAAGTTGGTTCCGTAAGATACAGCGTCCAAATATCCGTATGGATATACAATATTTGAAGTTTAAGAAGTCTCGAATAAGCGAAGAATAGAGTCTTCGTCCAAAAGGAACAGATTCCAACTTGCACTGTAGGTCCTCCCCAAACTACTCATATAGAGTTTTATCTTGGAGGGAACCCAGAAAATGCAATTTGACGTGTTCCTGTGTAATGCTGGGTTCTTCCCTCATAAATCTATATGAATTGGAAGTGCAGCTATGATTTTTTTGGCTTTTAAGCGTCATCGCTCGAAAAATAATCAGCTTAGTACTAGAAACCCCCAAAAATCGCTTTTGTCATACTTTTGCGCTTTTCTTATCTCTCGATTTCCAGCCACGCCAAAATACAGCATCTGTATTTATGAATGTATCGTTTAGAGGATCACTCATAATCAAGTCCAAGGGCGTTTTTTTTTCTAATAGAAACTCAATCTTCTTCCATTTTTTGAAGTTTGGTTACAGAAGCGGGTCTTAGTGCGGATTTTGGAGGTTATTTATAGAGCTTGCTTTGCTTCATCAGTTGGCAAATTGATGTGTTTCGGTGAAAATGAAAAATTATGAGTTTGTGCAAAAGCAAGATGGGCAAAGAATAGGGCTTGTGTACAATAAACATCATTCGCGGGGTTAACAAGTTGTCTTCAGAATCATGTTTCTCCAGCGATCGTAATAAAGAAAGCAAATATCAAATTAACCGCGGCTTTCTTGGGAAGTATATACATCTTTTCAAACCTTCCCCGTATGATTATGCGGCAATCCAAGGTTTTGTCATAGTACCAATTTACGACATTACCCTAGAATCATTGTTTTCCGCTCTATGAAGTTAATAGAGCGATCACCAGTGCGACTGGCACCCAAAATTGACAGCTACAGTAAAGTAGGTTTTCGTTTCTATGGTGTGGCTGCGGTACCGAAAAAATGCGGTAAAACCTGCGCGTGAACAAATATCCCATAATGCCGGCCACTTGCGCGTGAGGTTCCCGGAATTAGGGCCTGCCTATTTGTTCACTCACTAATTTTACCGCATCATCTCGGCATCGCAAGCACACTATATTGAGCTGAAAATCTACTCATCTGTAGACTGCAGCTTTTTTTGTGAGAAGTTGCAAAAGTCTAGTTGGTTCTTGATATTTTAGACTTGTTCATGCGTTCTTTCAATTTATTTTTACTACAAAACAATTTAGATGGAGCAAGTTGTTCAAGAGCCGGCTCGCAGTCGCTCTTAGTAAGTACGCAACTGTATACTTTTACACTGGAGCATTCGGGCTGTTCGTCCTTTTCGCAGGTCTGATTGTGTTTTGTCATCATGGATGAGTACAGCAGTGTTTTTTTTTAAGATGCTGTACGTGAGGTCAACAAATACTCACATGTGGAGGTTGCGATGGATTCTTCTTTGCGTCACGCTGCCGATGCTGATGCGGTCATCCATATGCGACTGTTCAGAGCACAGCGTAATTTTTACATCTCTGGATTCGCACTTCTGCTTTTCTGGTCAGTCATTGGTCTACCCCAAGTCATTGATTTAATGAATACTTTGTTACGGAAAAATCTCTAACTACGCTTTGCGGGTCCCATTGTGTCGTCTTTGAAAATTTCGTTCTGTTTGGCTCGATGTTTTGAATTTTTGCTTGATTCATAACACTGGTCATTATTTTTACCAAAGCCACATTAATTCACTTAGGTTGGTCTCGTAGGTTCTTTGTTAAATATCAGAAGCCGTTTGGTTATTGATTTGTAATGTCTGAAATTTGCAGCGTTATCAAGCGTATAATGAGCTTGCTAAGCCGTGGAGCTCAGCTTGAAGCCGCAAGCGAGGCAGCAATGAGACAGGCTGAAGGTGCTTCGAAGGCTGCCAAGACACTCATGAATGCTGTGAGTTTCGGCTTTGATCTGCTGAATTCTAGCCATGCTTACTATCGCATTTCCAGGGTGGTGAAGGAGAAGTAGCTGAACTCAATCGCAAGATTGAAGAGCTCGGAACTGAACTGAAGAAGACGCAGGTTGATCGCGACACTATTCGCAAACAGGCTGAAAACCTCCAGGAAGAGTACGATCGCGTCTCTGACCTATTGGTTAAATACGAGGTAAATTTTCAGTTGACAGATATTGATGCATTAGGGTGTCTCATAATTTTTTACCGTTTTTACTACAGCCGTCGTCTTTTTGTACCTTTCTTTTAATTGATGGCTTGAGTGATCATTCGAAAGAACGAAGCAAGCTTTATAGCTCTATAAGATTATTAAAAGTCTATCTAGGTCATATTCCACGTAAAGTTTTGAGCTGAAATCTGATAGCAGTCGAGAACGAATTTTACTATAAAAAATCGTATCTGCGCCCCAAAAAATCTTAGAAATTCCCCATTGATTCTAGCCTAGGTTTGACACTAAGCACTCAGTTGTACACTTTCCGTGTTTTTTCCCTGGCTAGAAATAAAGAAAAAAAATAAATGAGTAAAGTGGCAAACTCCGCTCCTAGACGTCCTGTCCTTCCCACGCACGTGATCACATAGTTCAGACATACAGAAGCACGATCATATATTTGTACCCTTTAAAGATGCCGCAGTTCTCGAGAAATGCTAATGATTCACTTTTCATTGCCAGTGTTGCTGTTTGGCTTATATCTGTAAAAAACATGAACCGTGGGTATCAATTCAGGGAACTGTGTAAAGTGTATTTTCATATTACGGTCAGCTAGCTTCAGGGTGGCGACAGTGGCAGCAAGAAAGAGCTTTGAGTTCGCAAAACTCAATGTTCTCGAAGAAATGCGACTTGCGATTTGTCGAATGTAAATTTGGAAGCTATGTTCAAGGCGAGATGACCTTAGCTTGATTCTTGCTTGGTCCTTTTGATTCTCTCGTCTTCTTCATGTTCTATGCTTTGTCTTTTCAATCGTAACGTGTATTGAAGCAGTAACCTTCTTTTGTAGTCTGTAAGGTTATGATAGTTTGGTGTGTATTGTAAATTGCTTGAATATAGTTAATAAAGTTTTTATTGTGTTCCAAAAACCAAGTAACTATGACCATTTCAATGCTCACCCGTTTGCCCATTTAATCAACAAACGTATCGGTGCTTCTATTTGAGGTTCCCCAGTGTTGGAAAGAAGTCATTGTGACGGCTACTTCAAAAATTTCCTGCACGAACCAGAGTAGCTTTCCTGCACGAACTAGAGTAGCAGCTATCGTCCTATCAGTTTACTCCTACCTCGGTGAAAGTGATGGAAGAGATTATAAGGTTCAGACCACTATCATGGCTTCATAGGTTTCATGTTATTCCTATAGACAGCATAGTTTTATTCCCGGACGCCTACCTATACTGTCTCAGCGGATGGCTTATTTGATTGGGAGTTGGCATTGAACAAAGGAAAGTGTATCTATATTGATCTATCAAAGGTGTTTGATAAAGTCAGCTATACATCTTAAAGGCAGTGTCCGGGAAAAAACTCGATTTTGAGATTTTGTGCTTACCCGGGCCTATTCGCTATGGTGAATCCGAAAATCCACATCGGAGAGCGCGAAAACGACGAAAAAGGGCTTTAACACTGGAGAAATCAGCAAGTGGGCGGGGTCTTCCCCACTGTGAATTCACGCTCCCAGCTTCTTGATTCCGGTTTCAAGTCATTCGTTTGCACTTGATCGGTAGTGATGTCAGGGCGGCTAACGGATTCGAAAAAATTGCTCTAGAAGTTGGAAGCGTGAATTCACAGTGGGGAAGACTCCGCCCACTTGCTGATTTCTCCAGTGTTAGAGCCCTTTTTCGTCGTTTTCGCGCTCTCCAATGTGAATTTTCGGATTCGGCATAGCGAATAGGCCCGGATAAGCAAAAAATCTCGAAATCGAGTTCTTGCCCGGACACTGCCATTAAAAGCAGTGTCCGGGCAAGAACTCGTTTTTGAGATTTTGTGCTTAATTGGGCCTATTCGCTACGCTGAATCTGAAAATGCACGTTGTAGAGCGCGAAAATGGCGAAAAAAGGCTCTAACACAGGGGGGAAATGAGCAGGTGGGCGGGGTTTTCCCCACTGCGAATTCACGTTCCCGGCTTCCGGAGCGACCTTCTCGCTTCCGGTTTCAAGTCAATCATTCGCACTTGGCCGGTAGCGATGTTAGAACGGCTAGCGGAATCAAGAAAATCGCTCCGGGAGCTGGGAGCGTGAAATCGCACTGGGGAAAGCCCCGCCCACCTGCTATTTCCCTCCTATATTAGAGCCCTTTTTCGCCGTTTTCGCGCGTTCCAATGTGGATTTTCGGATTCAGCATGGCGAATAGGCCCGTATAAGCACAAAATCTCAAAATCGAGTTTTTGCCCGGACACTGCTTCTAAATATAAAGCTGAATGTCTGTTTGTATGTATGTCTGTCTGTCTGTATGTCTGTCTGTGTGTACGTATGTTCCGAATAGAAAATTCCATTTCCGAACCGATCCGGACCAAACTTGACACACATACACTTCGGGGCGGGGCGAGTGTCATAGGCTACTTTTCGTCATCGATCGATATCGATTTTATCGATTTTATTGATTTTTTGTAAAGTTTGAGCTACGAGGCTGGGAGTTGGCACAGGGGGGTAATCGAGGATGCTGATTACGAATACAATACTAGTTTCTGGAATTATTTGCTACTTTTATCAATTTTATTGATTTTTTTGCAAAGTTTGAGCTACGGGGCTCGGAGTTGGCACAGGGGGGTAAGTGAGCATGCTGCTTACGAATACAGTTTTAGTTTTCAAAATCGTCCATTACCTTTATCGATTTTATCGATTTTTTGCAGAGTTCACCTACGGGGCTGGGAATTGGCACAGGGGGTAATCGAGCATCCTGACTACGAATGTAGTAAATGGTTGTGAAAATATCCAGTACTTTGTTCTGTAGAACCTTGGACTAGAAGAGTGTAAATTGGTACTTGGTAATGCTGATTCAAACGAGGTAATCTTTAATTCTTATCCTCAATCCTGCATCAAAATATTTCTTTTCTGTCATCTAGGACTGGATTTCGGTAAGGGATAAGCGATTGTGGTGATTACAAAACATCCTTTCTAAAGTAATTCGAGTGCTCATGCTACACTCAAAAATATTAAATGAGTACACTGATCATTATAAAATCACAACTTCATTTTTTCGGCGAGGTCTAAATTTATTCTGAAAAATGTTTCATTTATGAAACACTCTTCTAAATCAGATTCTAATAAAGCTAGACTAGATTGCTGAAATTTTGCATGCACATATTCTATATGTGGGTAAACATACCATAAATATTTTAAGAAAAAAACCGTTCTTTCAGGGTTTTTTAAATTTAAATTTACTAGTAGGAAATCATGATGGCGTCTTGGAATGAGAAGGGGAAAAATATTTGTGTAGCACCGCTGGATTGGCCATTAAAAGTTAGCATATACGTTTTTTTGACGCAAGGTCCCAGGGTTGTCTTTGGAGCGAGATATAGGGATTTTTGATTTTTGTCTGAAAATTCCTTCCTTCTTCCCGAGCCTTTGGGCTTTTCTACTCGAGATAGAGCCTGTTGGCTTTTCGGTACTCGAAGTAAAGCCTTTTGGCTTTTCGGTACTCGAAGTAAAGCCTTTTGGCTTCTCGGTACTCGAAGTAGAGCCTTCGGGCTTTTATAGTCAAGGTAGAGCCTGTTGGCTTTTCGGTACTCCCTGAGAACCTGAGGACCGTATTACGGAAGGCTCTCATCACAGGATGCCGCCGAAGAAGCGTGCATTCATCGGAAGAGTTGATCCCAAGGCCAAAAAGGTCAGGGATCAACGAGAGGCTGAGACCTCGAAGCAGCGCCAGGAACGGCTAGAAGGCAATCGTGCCAGAATAGCCGAGGCGAGAGCAACGCAAACGCTGGAACAGCGTGAAGCAAGTCTCTCGCAGACTCGCCTGCGGCTTGCTGCTCTGAGAGCCTCAGAACAAGAAAGTCGTGATTCTCGACTCGATGACGACCGAGTCAGACACGCCGAAGCCAGATCTCAGGAGACGGCTGAAGAGCGCGGTTCTCGACTCGATAACGACCGAGTCAGACACGCCGAAGCCAGATCTCAGGAGACGGCTGAAGAGCGCGGTTCTCGACTCGATAACGACCGAGTCAGACACGCCGAAGCCAGATCTCAGGAGACGGCTGAACAGTGCGAGTCTCGACTCGACAGTAGTCGAAGGAGGACTGAGGCTTCACGAAGAGCCGGTGCAGGTGCAGCGCATTCAGTACGGCTCGAACGTGATCGTGCTCGACATGTCCACGCTCGACAGACATCCAGGCGAGTGGATCTTCACCTCGCGGCATCGGACTACGATGCCCAGGTCGACTACTCGACACATCCGAAGGTACTAATCGGAAGGATGGATGTCATATGTGGCAAGTGTCAAGCCAAGAAGTTCAGAGTCGAACCTCCTGGCATGTGCTGTTCCAGCAGCAAAGTCGACCCTCCGCCTCTACGTGAGCGGCCTGAGCCGCTTCGTTCATACATGTCCGGCACCGGTGCTGTGTCCAGGCATTTCTTGCAGAACATCGGGAAGTACAATGCGCTTCCAGATGATGTCCTTCGGCACTACGGTCGCCATGCCTGTCTTTGAGGAACAGGGCTTCATGCCAACGTCTAAAGGCAGTGGCTCGACAAACTCAACAACTCAGGATTTCAACTCCATGGGTTTCTTATCGCCCAATTTTGAAAACAGTGCAATCCCGGTTGCACAGCATGCCTTCCCTGCCGAAAAAATTGCTCTCAGACTTACACGTGCAGACTAATCTTACACGCATCCGGACGAGTTGGCAAATTCCTTTTCACCATTGGAGGCTGCCCGCCGCTATGTTATAACCATTGGGTCCTGCAACGATTCAGCGTCATCGTCCTTGCTGCACTCGTCCAATTTCAAAAAGAAGGGCATTGAAAAACGCTCTTTTTCGCCGTTTTCAAGCTCTCAAAAATGCATTTTCGGAATCAGCGTATTGAATAACCCCAGGTAAGCGAAAATTTCACTAGGTTGAGATTTGCCGAGCCACTGCCTTCAAGGTGCAAGGACAGGTCTATCATAGAGTTGGATCCCTGCTTTCTTATGGCAATGATAGCCGCAAGTTCTTGCAGCTGTACTTCGCCTGCGACGGGCAGCTGCAAGCGGATCAACGTTGCGGCATCATCGGTGGCACAAGGCCGGACGTTGTGCTAGAGCTGCAAAGAATGCTGCTTCAGCACAACGACCTGGTGAAGGACTTCAAGACCAACCTGGACCAAATGCCCACAGACAAGTATGAGGTAGTTATCCGTGCTGACAGGAAGCCTGCTGGTCAGCATAAACGGCTTCAATGCTCCGTCTGTAAGGAGATAGCGTGGTCTTGGTTGGCGAAGACGACTGCCACGGGCGTGACAATATCATCCGAAAACGTTGAGAAACGTTGCACCGCATTTCTGAAATTCGTAGATCGTACGATGCCCTGCAGTACCCAGTCATGTTCTGGAATGGAGTAGACGGGTATCACTTCGAACTGTGTCAGAGGAATCCTAGCAGTGGTGCCCTTACCAATAAGAAGGTATCGGCTATGGATTTTTATGCACATCGCATGATGATAAGGTCCACGTTCTTCAACCACATCGTGAAATGTCGCCAACTATTTCACCAGTTCATCGTGGACATGTACGACAAGATTGAGAGTGGACGGCTCCTCTTCATTCGACGCAATCAGCAGCTGCGTGCAGACGACTACATCCACCTGCGGGATGCCGTGGCCGGAGATGGAAATGTTACTGACCTCGGGCAAATGGTCATACTACCATCCTCCTTCACGGGCGGCCACGCCACATGCACGAGTACACTTAGGACGCAATGGCCTACGTTAGAGCGTACGGGCGTCCTGATCCGTTCATCACGTTTACGTGCAACACGGCGTGGACGGAAATTGCGGAAGAGCTCTTCCCTGGTGAAGCGCCTTCTGACCGCCACGACATCACGGCGAGAGCCTTCAAAAAGAA